TCTCAGTGGACTGTAGAAGATTAGTTATTAGTATTGGCATATCTAATTATATGGAATAAGGCCTGCTTTAGTACAATGTCTGGTATTTAAGAATAGACACTGACGATTGTCTATATTTATAACAGCTATCTATGGACAGATATTTCCAATAATACTAATACAGATTTATTGCATGATTAATTTTTGTGTTCCATAATATTTAGATAATAGTAAAACATAAATCCATTCTACCTTTTAAATGCCAATGTAGCTAGAGTAGAAAACAAAAACAAATGACTAAAATGAAAATTATGAAGCCTTCACTCAAATCCAAAATAGTTACTATAGCAACTTAAACATAATGAAAGTAGTGTAAAATGATAATTTCAAATGTCATATTAATCTCTTGAAGTATGGAGAGTAAGTTGTTGTTTTGATACTTGAAAGAGACTAGGTTGCTGTAGAAGTATCTAAATGACTAATTTTTGTCTCATCTCTTTTCTCTTATTAATGAATGTAGAAACCTAGGCAATAACTGTTAGACGAAAACTGTTAGTTTTGCTTGTATTAATCTCCCTAAGACTGATGACAATCACTTTATACAAGCAATTCTTAATTACTTGTGGGAGTAGAGAGCAGATTGCATGAAAAAGTACATTTACAAATGACCTACAGGGTCTAATTTTGATGTTTATTTTCTACTTTCTCCATCTCCAAAATAGAGTTGCAGACATAATACAAAATATTTTATTAAAGAGGGAAAGAGGAAGAAAATCCAGAGTGTAGTGTGAGTATGGAAATGCCCATTTAGTAAATCCCTTATTAAAACTACTATCCTTGTTTGTATTGAGGTCACATTAAAACTGTTAAAGTGACCCCCAACAAATGTGGATTCAGGGACCCTCTAAGAAAATGAATTCACTAGAGTATCAGATAAACCAGGAAAGGTTTTTATTTTATTTTTTTTTAAATAATAAATTTTATTTTTATATTCCCCATACAATTGCAACCCCCCCATTTTGACCCCAATCCCTCCCCTTCCGCCCCCCACCCCCCAAAAAGTGTCTCTGGTTCATAGTTTTTTGTTGAATTTGATTTTCACTTTCTTATAGTTATTCATCTTCCTGGACCCTTATTTAAGTTTTGTAGATTCCTGCTATGAGTGAGACCATCCGGTATTTTTCTTTTTCTTTCTGGCTTATTTCGCTGATCATGATCCCTTCCAGCGCCATCCATGTTGCTGCAAATTGCATGTGTTTATCTTTTTTGAATGCTGAGTGATATTCCATGGTGTATATGTACCACATCTTCTTGATCCAGTCATCTATTTTTGGGCATTTGGGCTGTTTCCAAAGCTTAGCTATTGTAAATAGTGCTGCTATAAACATAGGGGTGCAGGTGTTCTTTGGAATTGATGTTTCTGTGTCCTTTGGGTAAATACCTAGGAGTGGAATTGCTGGATCATATGGAAGCTCTATGTTTAGTAGGTCCAGAAATCTCCACACAGCTCTCCATAGTGGCTGGACCAGTTTGCACTCCCACCAACAGTGCAGGAGAGTTCCTTTTTCTCCACACCCTCGCCAACATTTGTTGTTGCTAGTTTTTTTAATATGTGCCATTCTCACTGGTGTAAGATGGTATCTCATGGTAGTTTTGATTTGCATTTCCCTGATTACAAGTGATGTTGAACATTTTTTCATATGCCTGTTGGCCATTTGCATTTAGGAAAGGTTTTTATTAACTGATGCACAGGGGGTCCAGTGCTGGAAGAAGAAAATTTTAGCCTGGATCCCTGAAGGGAGCTAGAAAGAGGGTTTTCAGGGGTAGGTTTGCCAAAGAGTGGCAGAGGGGAGCAATTTCATAGCATGTTCTGGGTGAACACACAGGGAAACACACAGGCATACTGCTTCGTAAGTCACATGTTTCATCAGCATCTACCAACTACACATGTGAAGCTCTTCACCTTCCCCATCCATGAAATTTTGTAATGATCATTAGTGAGGATATAGCAACTTTTGTCTAGGCACAACACCTTTGGTCAATCTGGTGGGTCAAGTTGTTTGAAACAGTCTAGCCAGTCTGTGATTTGGTCTACCTGTTCAACTAGGATGTTGTAAAACTCATCCTTGAGATTCAATTTATCTGTTCAAACATGATATTAGGGAACTTTAATCCTACCGGCTTGCATTTTCATTTACCTAGGTTATCTCAAAATTTCCTAAATTTAATACTGAAATAGTCATTGTCAGACTGGTGTTATATCTTTCTGGTTCTGAAACTGGAGATACAACTTATTAGTCATATAGTGGGTGACAGAGAATCTAAGTATAAGCAACTTTTTTAAAGAGAGAAACCTCAAAAATCAGTGCCTCTTTAAAGTCCTCTGACTCCCTTAAACAGGGGTAAGTCACTCTTTATGCCCATACAAGCAACGTTCCTTCTATCTTTCATCCCTCCCTCTCCTTCTTCTCTCCATTTCTTCCTCTCTTCCTTCTACAGATGTTTAAGAAAATTCTATGTGCCAATCCCTGTGCTAGATACGGGAGAGATACTAGCGAACAATACTGATGTAGTCCTGCCTTCATAGAATTTATAGTCTAGGCTAGTGGGGAATATAAAACAATTATAAGAACATATTTTTAATTATAACTGAAATTAGTTTAAAATGGAAAAGTCTAAGGGGCACTGAAAACACATGAAAGGAAGGTTTTCTGAGGAAATTATATTTATATTGACTGCTTTAGGGTGAAGAGGACTCAATCAGCTAATGGGTGCAATGAAAAATAATTTAGGAGGAGGAAATAACAAGTGAAAAATCCCTGAGATGAAAAAAGAACTTAGTGTATTTGAGGTATAGAGGCCCATGAGGTTGGAACATTATGACAAAGAGGAGATTAGAAAGATAATCAAGGAGTGCGTAAATCATTTGGTATTAGTGTTTTCATAACCTTTGGGTAGATACTAGAAGTGGTATTGCTGGATCATATGGTATTTTCATTTTTTAGTTTTCTGGTGTTTGTAGCAACATTATTCACAATAGTTAAGACACAAAACCAACCTAAATGTCCATCTACGGATGACTGGATAAAGAAATTGTGGTATGTAAACTCAATGGATTACTGTTCAACTCTTAAGAAAAGATGAAATAGTGCTGTTTAGTAAAATATGGATGGATCTTTTTTAATTAATTAATTAATTTATACAAGAACTGGGGTACAGTCAGAAGCGCAGGAGGGTGAGAGAAATCATCAGAGCCAGAGCCGAGAACAGAACAGGCAGACAGACGAAATACACTGCTGAGGGGAGCAGCAGGCGCGGCAGGTGAGGTCTGCGTGCCATGTGGGATCCTCGCCGGCCAGCCTGGGATATAACCGGTGCTGCAGAGGCTGCAGGCAGCTTCGCAGCCCAGCGCTAAACCGCTGCACCACTGGGGATGCCTAATATGGATGCATCTTGAGGTGATTATTCTAAGTGAATTAGGCCAGAAAGTGAAAGGTGGATGTCTTTACTCATTTGAGGAATATAAATAACCAAATAAAACAAACTAGCAAAGCACAGCAAAAAAAAAAAAAATATTAGACTCTATAAAAAATATAGTAGTTATTAGAAAGTATGGGGGGGAAGGAGAATAGTAGGGAGGGGATTTTTGGTAGAAGGTGAGTGAAGCATGTGCACTTATGAAGGTGTGAAGTTGTGTTCCCAAAATTGTATGGTTATGTGAATGATTGGCACCAATAGCATTTGAGACAAATATAGAAAAAAAGAAGGTAAACAAGGATCTTAGAGGCAATAGTATATTGTTTGAACATTTTTTGTGTGTTTTCCCCATTCTTTTGTGAGTGTATGTGTACCTGATCATGGAAACCTTTTTCCCTTTTCATTTTTATATCCTCCATATCTATTATAGTACTCAGCATATAGTGAGTGCTAAATAAATGCCGTTGAATTAGCACAATGTTCCCTTCAATATTGTAAGAACACAGAAAACAGTGTAAGGTTGTTATGTATCTATTATCTTTCCTATTGTATCTGTCAAGCCACATTTATTAAAATAACAGATAGCTTTTTCTACAAGCAAGGAGAAGGAGAGGGGCAGGATAGTGAAATAGTGAATTGTTCAATGGTACTAGGAGCAAACCAGCCTTTCAAGGAAAATAGTTGTTGTATCTGTAGTTAAAATCTATACCACAGGAAAGCCTGAAAATGAAAGAAGTTCATCCAAACTTTTGAAACCAAAACAAATAAAACTTAGTGATTCCTAACTCTTGTGAAATTCACGTAGGGTAGAGAGAAAAAAAATATATGTGTAACTGTCAAGAAATTAAGATCATATGCCACTTATATATTTTAACTTCTTTAAACTTTACTATAATTATATTTTAATGTGGTAATTGGAAACCTATAAGATTAGATTTTCCAATAAAATGTGAAACAATTGCAATAAATATAATTAAACATCCCATGTTTAGGACACCAATAGCACTATAATAGTACTACTGTTACACACACACTATCTTACCTCCATTTGCAGCTCAGCTTCCAAGGATAAGACTAACGCTTTAGAAATTCTATCCTTGCAAAGTTATGTGTATGAAGAAATTTCAAACCCCCCTTTGAATTCCTGTAATTGTTACTTTCTCTCATGTTCATTTGATAGAGGAGAATTGTCATACGTTGAACTATTTCAAGTATCCTGTCTCCTTAGCTAGATTATAAATCCTTCAAGGGAAAAGTTTTACACTTTATATCTCCCACTATTTTTTGAGTAGGTGGTGCTAATTCACGGGTTTTTTTTTTTAAAGAAACTTTTTATTAGGTGATGACAAATTTATACAACAATCAGATACAGAAAAACACAAGAAAGTAAGTTTCTGTGTGATTCCAATAGAGGAACCCTTTCCGTGATCACAAGAGAACCAGATATTTTTAGAAGTTAAAGTTACTGAGTTTACAGAACAGCAAAACACTAAAAACACTTTCAGGAAAAACTTTATTTTTAACAAAGAAGTAATTTTGCCATTTTCTATTCTTGGCATAAATTAATTCTTTCCAGTGGAACCAAAGCCTCCTGCACCCCTTTCAGTGTCCTCCAAAATTTGAACTTCTTCTATTTCTGGATAAAAAATTCTTTCACAAATGAGCTGTGCAATTCGATCACCCTTTTTGACTTCAAACTTTTCTTTGCCAAAATTAAGCAGTACAACACCAACATTTCCACTATAATCTTCATCTATGACACCAGCTCCTACATCTATGAAGTGTTTTGCAGCCAAGCCAGAACGTGGAGCTACTCTTCCATAACATCCAGAAGGAAGAGCTATCTGAATGTCAGTTTTCACAAGGGCTTTCTCCATAGGTGGTACTGTATAATCATACGCACTATACAGGTCATAGCCCGCGGCTCGTGCCGACCCCTTGGTGGGGGCGGTGGCGTGTTCAGAGAGCCAGACAAAGCGGAGGCGCGACGGGCCCTCCTCCACGTACCAGGACCGCTTGCTGGGGGAAACGGCGAAGGCCTCTTCGGAGCAGGGCATCGCGGTGCACGGGGGCCGCGGTGCAGCAGGGAGAGCAAGGTGAGCAGTAATTCACGGTTTTAGAGCAATGTGCAAAGCACATAGATTGTAAGTCATTTTGCTGCTGCTTGTAATAACTGAAAATAACAAAAGAGTGACTGGAAAATATGACTCTCTGATCTTACATGGATGTAAGACCTGAAACCACAAAATACATAGAATAAAATATAGGCTAAACTTTCCATGTCATAAACATCAGGAACATCTTTGAGGATTCTTCCCCAGCACAAGGAAAGCAAAGGAGAATATAAACAATTATTATACATCAAACTGAGAAGTTTATGTGCAGTGGAAGAGATAGTAACCAAAACGAAGAGATACCCCACTCAAAGGAATAAAATATTTGCACAGTATGCATCTAGCAAGAGACTGATATCGAAGAGCTAATGCAACTCAACAAAAAAGAAACAAACTACTGAATCAAAAAAATACACAGATGAACTAAATAGGTATTTCTTCAAAGAACACATACAGATGGCCAATAGGCACATAAAAAGTTGTCCATCATTTATCATAGGGAAAGGCAAATCAAAACCACAATGAGATACTACCTTACACCTGTGAAAATGGCCCAATACCAAAAAAAAAAAAAATAGGTGTGTGGACAATAAGTGCTGTAGAGGAGGTGGAGAAAGCGGAACTCTCCTATACTGTTGGTTGGAATGTAGACTGTTCTAGCCCATTGAAAGCTGTGTGGAGATTCCTCAAAAGACTAAAGATTGACCTGCCATATGACCTAGAAATTCCACTCCAAGTTACCTACTCAAAGAACACAAAAACACTTATTTGAAAAGAAACCTGCTTTCCTGTGCTTATTGCAGCACTTTTCAAAAGCCAAGCTATGGAAGCAAACTAAATGCCCCCCAAACAGATGAGTGGATCAAGAAGATGTGATATATGTTGGAATATTATACAATGGAATATTGCACAACAGTAAAAAAAGATAAACTCATGCCATTTGTGGCAACATGGATGGTGCTGGAAGAGCTTATGTTAAGTGAAATAAGCCAGAAGGAGAAAGATAAGTACTGGATGGTGTCACTTATATATGGAATATAGAGAAATGAAACAAAGGGTCAAAGACACATTTTGAAACTAACTATAAATCTGAGGCATCCAAGAGGGGGAAAAAAAGAGGGCGGGATTAGGATAGGTGGGGGGAGGGGAGCACAGTGGACTCTGGTGGAGGACTATGGGTGCTTTGGTAGTGGGAGAGCAATAATAGCCATACCTGAGTGGAGAAATCCCACATTGTCAAAATATTAACAAAAATGTAAAACAATGGTGCTTCATTAATAAAAATTAGAAAAATATGACTCTGAACCAAATGATTTTTTTAAATTAAAGGCACTAAAAATGAAATATAATTAGTAACGTTTGGGGTATTTTTGTTTTTTTTTTTAAAGATTTATTTATTCATGCATAAAAGAACCAGGGTACAGGCCAGATGTGTGGGAGGGTGAGAGGATTTACCAGAGACAGAGCGGGGAACAGAACAGGCAGACTGAAGAAATACACTGTTGAGGGGAGCAGTGGGCGAGACAGGATGTGTGGATATCTCCCCCACCAGCCGGCATCGAGCCTGCACTGTAGAGGCTGCAGACAGCTTCACAGTGCTTTGCTCAACCGCCTGCACCACCAGCGAGGCCCTGTTTTTGGTTTTTAATTTTGGTAATGATAAGGTTTTGATAACTCACAAAGAAGACCCACTATAGTGTACATGCCTTCATAAATAAATATTCTTAAGTGTTTACTTATGTTACTAATGATTTCACTTATAGTCTTTGAAAAGCCACTGCAGTCAAATTACATTGAAAAGGAAAATCCATAGAAATGTTATTTTTCATTTTTATCCATTCACTAGATTTCTTTTTTTGACCTGGGTTTTCAAGAAATCATATTCGTTACCATATTCAGTGATTGCTCTCTCTAGGTTATTTGACCACATAAACACAAGGTCATCTCTTTGTCTACACAAATTAAATTCTATTTAGTATAATTTCTACAAATAAATTAATGATTTGAGACAATAGAAAAGAAATAAATGCTGTAAATGATGGAAAAATAATTTAAATTCAAATAGTAATGTTCCATTTCCAGACTCTATCATGACATTGAGATGCTGTTAGCAGATAACAATGTTAGTAGATAACATTGTTATCTACTAACAATTAAACATTAATACCCTCACTGCTATTTTCTTTTGTTTCATAAGTACAAATGCCATCTGAACTTCAAGAAGTTGTAGAGGTATCTTTCTTCATCATTGTATGTCAAATTACTGGGCAATGTGGTTAACTAAAAAAAACATTTATTACCTGGTTACTGGATTTTTTGATATCCCTCAACTTCCTAAAACTTACAGGGATTTCTGACTCCTTTAAATTTGCATGACAAAGCAGATGTTGAATTTAAGCAAGGAATTTGTTGAGACTTGAAGTGTGCTAAAAGCTTTGCAATACCCTTGGGGTGGGAGAGAGAGAATAGATGGTATCTATGATTCCCTTCAATTCCAACATTTTAATTAACCCAACCATTATAAGAAATAGCAGAGCTGCTGTCAGTGACATATGTGCCAAACAGCAGAATTCCCACAAAGTACAAATGTAACCACACAAAATGGAAAATATTTGGGCCACATACACTGTTCCTAATGAGCAGGCATTGTGAATCTCTATGTCGTTGTATATCCCCTCTGCTCTAATCTGAAATGCCCTTTGAACCCTCTCTCCATATGTGGTAAACACCTTGTACTTCTTCAAGGTATGTGTCAAAGGTAATTTTCACTGTAAAATCATGTTAAACTGTCTTAGAAGGATTATGAGCTGTATTTATGTTTCCCACTTCTTCAGACCTCATTAGTTTGTGGGTACGACATTTATAATACTTGAATTTTTTCATGCCCCTATCTGCATGACACATAATTGCATATTTTTTCAAAGATCCTTCCTTGAACATTTCTGGAAGGTTACAAGTTATCCTTCATGCATATTACTGATCAAGTTGGCTTTTACTGAGTACATCAACACCTTCACCAGACAATCTGCTGCTAGTCCTTGCCTTCATTTGAATCTAGCATTATTCTCTGTTAATAGGAAAACCCACAAAAGTATACCTATGCTTCCAATGAGCTAAGAGTTTAGGATGTAACCATAGTCAAATCGGAACTGAGATCAGGAAACTGATACAAATGACAGCCATCATGGTCTACTCAATATCACTATATCCCTTAGAAGACCTAAAACTGTACTCCTGTTTGACTCACTCAGAAGGAATGCTTCCAAAACTCTCCTCAAAACTCTTACACTTTCATGAAGCTTATAAAACCAGTGTTTTACATTAGATGTCTTTTCTTGTGTGAGTCATGTGCAGACTCAAATTGGGACTCCCACAATTTTATCATCAAATGACAAGTAGCATGTTTAAGATGTTTTGATGTAGGGCATGGCAAGTGTAAAGTCCATTGAAAGAGAAAAAATCATTTTCTTCAATTTATCACCTAGTGATTCCTGCCTTTTCTTATGTTGATTGTTTTTCTACATTCATACACATTGGCTACCCTGAATCTCTATCCAGCCTCATTGCTTGTACTGACACAGTCCATAGCAACTTCTGGAAAGCTTCCCACACAAACTTTGATTTTCACCATCAGTGACCTCAACTCATGAATAAGAGAGTGATCCTGAATAACTCTTTTCTCAGTCTTTCCATCCATCTTGTATATACTGTCAATAGATGCAACCATTATAACACTTATTCTACTCTACTGTAATTATTCAATATTGTCAACATTGTCCCAAGCGCCAAGCCCTCTTTACATAAGCAGCTTTCCCAGGCCTGTCTTTAGCTTCTAAGCTCTAGCAAAATCAAATAGACAAGAATTGTTAGAGAAATGACCCTCAGATATGGTGATGAAAAATCTGTTTTGCTTTAGAGATATTATATTAATGAGATAGAAAATATATATGTACCTTATTTTTATAGTTTCAAAGAGATTATCTTTTATAGCTTTTTTGAGATATAATTTGTATACCATGTATTCTTTTTTTATAATAAATTTTATTTTTATATTCCCCATACAATTGCAACCCCCTTATTTTGACCCCAATCCCTCCCCTCCGCCCCCTACCCCCATAGAGTGTCTCTGGCTCATAGTTTTTGTTGATTTTGATTTTCACTTTCTTATAGTTATTCATTTTCCTGGTCCCTTATATAAGTTTTCTAGATTCCTGCTATGAGTGAGACCATCCGGTATTTTTCTTTTTCTTTCTGGCTTATTTCGCTGAGCATGACCCCTTCCAGCGCCATCCATGTTGCTGCAAATTGCATGTGTTTATCTTTTTTTGAATGCTGAGTAATATTCCATGGCGTATACCATGTATTCTATCATTTTCAAAGTGTACACGCTAATATTCTTTAGTATAATAACAATATGTGCAGTCATCACCACAGTCAAATTTTTTTTTTTTTTTAATCTTTTTTTTTTTTTTTATAGAGGCATGTTTTATTTATTTATTTTGTTTGTTTGTTTTGTTTATACATGCACTGGGTACAGTCAGAAGCGCGGGAGGGTGAGAGAATTCACCAGAGCCAGAGCGGGGAGCAGAGCAGGCAGAAGGACCGAAGTACACTGCTGAGGGGAGCAGCGGGCGGCAGGAGAGGTCTGCGCGCCATGTGGGATCCTCCGCGGGTGGCCGGGAAGCAGCCGGGGATCGAACCGGCGCCGCAGAGGCCGCGGGCAGCTTCGCAACCCAGCGCTCAACCGCTGCGCCACCGGGGAGGCCCACCACAGTCAAATTTAGAAATTTTTATCACCTCAAGAAAATAAAAACCTGACCCTTTAGTATCTTCACCTCAAATGCCCTATTCTCCCCAGTCCAAACTTACTGCTAGTTCACTGGATATTTCATGTAAATGATTTACCTTTTATGGATATTTCATATAAATGAAATCATCATAAT